TATACTTCTTTGTCTGAGAAATGTCTGTTCATTTCAGATGCCCATTTTTGGATTGGGTCTTTAAATTTGGGAGGTTTGATTTTTTTAAGTTCTTTTTTTTTGGTACCGGGGATCAAACTCGGGTCCTTGTGCTTGTGCAACAGGTGGCGAAACCACTGAGCTAAGTCCCCACCCCTTTTTAAGTTCTTTATATATTCTAGATAGTAGACCTTTGTTTGAGGAACAGCTGGTGAAAATTTTTTCCCAGATTGTGGGTTGTCTCTTCATGCTGTTGGTGGTTTCTGTTGCTGTACAGAAGCTGTTTAGTAAGAAGAGATCCCACTTGTTGATTCTTTGTGCTAGTTCACATGCAACTGAGGTTTTGTTCATGAAATCTTTACCTATACAACTGTCTACAAGAGTTCTACCTAACCTTTCTTCCGGCCGGTTTAGTGTTTCTGTTTTAATATTTAGCTCTTTAATCCATTTTGATTTTAGTTTAGTGCACGGTGAGAGATATAGGTCTAGTTTTAATCTTTGGCAAGTGGAAACCCAATTTTTCCAGCACCATTTATTAAAGAGGCTATCTTTCCTCCAGTGAGGGTGTTTGGCTCCTTTGTCAAAGGTGAGATGGCTGAGTGTGTCTGGAGTTGTTTCTGCATCTTCTAATCTGTTCCACTGGTCCTCAGGTCTGATTCTTTGTCAGTACCATGCTGTTTTTAACACAGTAGCTTTGTAGTATAGTTTCAAGTTGGGGATTGTGATACCCCCTACCTTGTCTTGTTGCCTAGAATTGCTTTTGCTATTCTGGGTCTCTTCTTGTTTCAAATGAATTTTTGGAATGTTTTCTCAAGTTCTGCTGGAATTTCAATTGGGATTGCATTGAATCTATGCAGCAGTTTTGGAAGTATGGCCATTTTTACTATATTATTTCTTCCTACCCAGGAGCAAGGGATGTATTTCCATTTTCTGATATCCTCTTTCATCTCTTTTTTCAGAGTGGTATAAATTTCAGAGAAGAGGTCTTTGATTTCTTTTGTTAGGTTGATTCCTAGGTATTTCAATTTTTTGGATGCTATTGTGAAGGGAGTTGTTTCTCCAGTTCCACTTTCAGTGAACCTGCTGTTTGTGTACAGGAAAGCTATTGATTTTTGTGTTTTGCTCTTGTATCCAGCTACTCTATTGAATTTGGTTATTAGGTCTAGAAGAGTTTTGGTGGAGTTCTTGGGATCTTTTATAAAGAGTATCATGTTGTCTGCAAATAGTGATAATTTAACTTCTTTGTTTCCTATCTTATTTCTTTTATTTCTTTCTCTTGTCTAATTGCTGTGGCTAATGTTTCCAAAACTATATTGAACAGGAGTGGTGATAGTGGACATCCTTGTCTT